GGAGGCGGCGGGGGCCGCTGGGTTCAGGGCAGCGGAGGCGGCCTGGCCGGCGGATTGCCCGGCCCAAGCGCTGCGGGCCGCGGCGGAACGGGCCGGGGTGCGGATCGTCCTCCTCAATACCCCTCCCGGTACCGCCCGCCTCCCCTGGGCTGCGTGGGCGGGGGGCGCGGGGGTGCCCCGGCGCCGCTGACCGCCCCGCCGCTCTCTCCTAGGGGACCAGGAGGCGGGCGAGATGGGGCTGGCGGCCGTGCCCGGTCGGCAGGCCGCCTTCCGGCAGGGCCTGGCGGCGGCGGTGCAGTACGCCAGGGCGGTGGGCTGCCCCAGGTAGGTGCCCGGCGGGACCCCCGCTCCTGCGGCGCCCCGGATCCACCCCCCCGGCCGCAGCAAATCGCTCCTCGGGGGCCTTCCCGCTCCAGTTCTTCTCCCGGCGGGGCTTGCCCTTTGCCCGGCCGTGCCGCCGTCCCGCCAGGGCTCTCCACGCTCCGTGGCCTCGGGCGGGAGATAGTTCGTTGCGGGGCCCCGGCTGTAGCGTGGTCCTGGAGCTGACCCAGAGCTGGTGGGCACTCGACCACCCCTGCCTTTTCCCTTGGTGGCTTGTGTCCACACCTCCACGCAACAGTCCCCGGGATAATCCTCCTTTTTTCCTCCCCAGTTACACCAGTCGTTTCCCCCAGGACACCACAGAAGTTGTTTTATTGAAGGCCACGCTGATCACAGGGCAGCGGAGACAATCCAAGAGATGCCATTAGCCTGGCACAGCCCCCTTCGGAAAGCCAACATGGCCCTTTTATTGCATTCACTCTGCACCACGCTTCCCCTTAGAAACGTGGGCCAAAGCCCCGCGGAGGGCACGGGCCGGGCAGGCCAGGGGTTGCCCAGACCCGTTGGTGCTCTCTGGTAATGGGCAGATTAAAGAGGTTTATGTTTCCAACATACACCTTCCCCAAACGCTCACTGAAGAGCTTTGCTCTCACCTGGCCCAGACCAGCACTGGCCACTGTCCCCTCCCTGCTCTAAGCCAGCAAGTGGTGGGACAAGGCATCCAAACTGCCCCTGGTAGGGGCAGCATGCCCACTGCCCATCATGCCCATGTTTGTAGGATCCACCTGGTGGCTGGGCGGGTTCCCCTGGGCGCAGACCGGGCAGCAGTGGCAGGTGAGATGGAAACCACCTTCATTGAGAACCTCAAATATGCTGCTGACCTCCTGGCCCAGGTAAGTGGGGAACAGGTCCTGCTCCATAGGTCCAGCTCTTGGGGTACTCAGGATGGAGAATCCCCCACCAGCCCAGCCTGGCAGGGGGAAAGAGCGGTCCCTGCTGCAGGGGTGACAGGATGGTCCGCGAGGTGACATTACTGTGTTACAGGAAGACATGATTGGACTGGTGGAGCCTATTAACAACCGCATCACTGACCCTCGCTACTTTCTGAACACCCCGCACCAAGGTAAGGGAGACATCTCTCCCCAGAGTCTCCTTCAAGGGAGGAGAAGGATCCCTGAAGTCTGAAAAGCAGGAGGTTGACTCAGCTGCAGGGAGATGCTGAAGGAGCACAACTGATGAAGTGGGGTCTCAGGGCTTCACCATGAAGCTTCCAGCCTGGAGGTGATGGGTGTCTCATTTCTTTGCACCCTTAGCTGCTGCCATCCTGGAGAAGGTGGGACGACCCAATCTGAAGCTGCAGCTGGTGAGTCAGCATTGAAGATCTCCAGGGTCCACCCTCCACCAGGGAACCTTGCACAGGCCCACAAGGGAGTCCCAGTGGCTGTGGGCTTGTTATCCCCTCCTGGGGATGTGGGAAGGGACAGGGACTGTAGCACAGCCATCCTTGACAGCTCGCTGCTGAGCTCTTCTGTCGCCTACAGGACCTCTTCCACTGCCAGATCATGGATGGGAATTTGTCACGTAACCTGGAGACATACTTCCCGCTCATTGGTAACACCTTGCACCCAAACCAAGCTCCTCTGTGGCCATGGGGCAGGAGTGCCTTTGAGGTGGGGCCCTGCTGCCCCACGCTCTGCTGTGGCTCGCTGGGGGTGTAGGGCTGCTCTTGGGTCACCTTGTCCCACGTCTAGAGAAGGCTGCAGCCAGGGCCACCTTGGGCAGAGCATCTCCCATTCCCTCCCTAGGTCATATCCAGATCGCACAGGTGCCAGGGCGGCACGAGCCCGACAGCCCTGGGGAGCTGAACTTCCCCTACATCTTTGAGCTCCTGGAGTCCCTTGGCTACACTGGCTACGTGGGGTGCGAGTATGCCCCAAAAGGTGAGTGGGCCAGGGGGCTGCGGGTGGTCTGAGCCCCCCAGCACAGACCAGTTGGTTGGGGACTGTGCAGAGGCAGGTATATCCTGGGGGGTGGCAGGCAGTGGGGCTGAGAGCCCTGCCCAGAACAGCAGTTGCTCCAGCTTGCCTGGAGATGCCAGCAGAAGCCCATGTCTGTCATTGCAGGAGACACGCTGGAAGGTCTGGGTTGGCTGCGCTCGTACTGGGAGAGCCGAGGCCTGCAGCCCAGCGGGACCAGCAAGGCAGCAGAGTAAAACAAGGAAAACACTGGAATAAATGTTAAGGCATGTCCTTGACAGGGGAGCATGTCTGTCTGCTTTGTGACTTAGGGCAAAGCTAGGAGCATCTATGTCCTATTGCCCTGCCCTCGGGCCTGCTGGGCCAGGCCAGGCAGTTGGACCCTCATCTACTCCAGCATCACCTGCAGCATGACATATTTGGGGATGGCTTGGGCACCACTGCAGGTCACTTGAAGTACAGAGGATCATCTTCACCTCTGCAGGGGTGTCCAGGGAGACTTTTACAGGCCCCCCTGCTGAGAGGAGCATTCACTCCTTGGAAAGGGTGCAAGTGTTCCCAGTCCAGCTCCAGCTGGTGACTGGAGTTGTGTGAAGGTGGCACTGGGCTTCCAAGTCCTGCAGTTCTCAAGGCCTGCTGAAGCAAGCAGCCCCCTCAGAGGCTGCCCAAACCAAGGTTAACGGGCTAGGGGCTTCCTGCCCACAGACAGTGGGAGATGCTGGCCCTACTACTCCTGCTCTGGAACAAGTATGAGACCCTACCAACCCTGGGGCTACCTCTGCACCCCCTACAGGAGGCCTCCCACATCCTAGTCTATGGCACACGAGTAGGGATCTGGTTCAGTTTATTTCACAGATACATCAATAGCTTTAATGTACATCTCCATAAAACCTTCCTCTGGTCCAGGTCACCCTTCCCGTCCCATTGGGTGGTCTCCTGACGAAAGCAAAGGGCCAGAAGTGGGCAGCCTCACTGTCCAGAGCCCTGAAGCGCAGGAGTCTCTTGACCTAAAGCCAGAGCACTGTGTAGTGCTGCCCTGTGCAGATGTGCTCTGTGTGCTCCTCTGTGCCTTCCCAGTAGGCAGGACTCACCTGCAGATGCCAAAGCCATGTCCCTGAGAGTTGCTCTGCTTCAGCCAAGCCACAGCAACCAAACTCCTGCCCTTGCAGTTCAGTTCAAGGTCATTTGGTATCAAACCCACCCAAAACAGTACACTGAGGGCCACACCAGCCAGCCAGCAAGCGGTGGAGGTGCACATCCCCAGGCTCCTCAGCTTGAAATCCATGCATGCCTCTAGTGGTGCTGCCTGTGGGGCTGGAGCACAGGTCCCCTCCGGAGGCCCGTTCTTCCTCATCATCATCCACGGCACAGCCATGCCGAGAGGTCCCGTACACGTGTTGCTCCAGGAGGCAGGTGCCAGTGCTAGAGCAGGCCTGTCCAGAGGTTGAAGCAGGCAGTGTTGATCACTGACTCCAGGTGGTGGTATGTGGACACGAGCTGTGGCAGAGGGCTCTCGCTGTTCTGGGGCTGCACTGGGAACGGCTCCCGGAAAACCACGGTGAGGCTCTGCTGAGAAGGAGGAGCAGGTCAGGGGACAGAGTTCAGACAAGCACTGTGCCTTCCCTAGCCCAGGCACGTGGGCACTCTTTTTGGGGTGTCAGGCAGGTACTTGCAGAAGTCCCAAAATGCCAACAGCGCTAGGCTTGTGTCTCCTTCTGTGACAGAGCACGTCTGAGCCTCCTCCCAATTTTTCCTGGTGGGAATTAGGTGCAAGGACTTGCCTACTCACTCTGTCCCAGCCCCCATGCATCTGCAGTTACACCAACCCACCCCAGCAGCAGCCTCAGGAGAGGAGGGGATCCTTACTGCCTCCACAGTAATAGGGGCTTCCAGGGAAATTAGAGGGAAATTTCTTCTTCTAAGGCAAAGAGTAGGAGTGCAACAAATGGGGAAAGGGAGGAGATTAAACATAATAACCGCAATCCTAAAAATAAACGCTGGCTGCTCCATTCTCATTAGTGACTGTACTGACGAGCCAGGGCAAGGGCAGAGGGGAGCAGAGAGCAGGGTTCAGAAGAGAAGGCTGCAGGAACTGAAGCAGAAGAAGAACATAAGCGACTCAGAGATCAGCATCATGGAAGCAAGACACGGGGACTAGATGTTCTCCAGAGCTGAAATGCAGCACATCTAGTAGCCTAACAAACTCATCAAGTCATGAGAAGAGCTGTGTACTGGGAAAAACAGCAAATGCATCACCATCATTTAAGAGGGAAGAGAAAGTGATTTGTGAGCCTAAGTCCAACAGCGTGCAAGGCTTTAGAGCAGGCTTGGAGAGAATCAACCAGGAGGAAATTGTAGCTCAGCGTTACTGATGTGCTAACACTAGAGCTCTCTTTGATAAGGTAATATCTCTAGACAAAGGAATCATGGAATATCTTATCTGAGCTTCAGGAAGGATTTGATGTAGTGCCACATGGGAAATTTAGGTAAGCTGAAAAGATAGGAATTAACGCAAAAATTGTAAGGTGAAGATGGCAGGGCTGAAAGGGGAAGTATCAAGCTGGAGAGAGGTTACAAACGGAGCTCCTCCAGGACAGGTTTTGGGACTCATGTTGCCTAGTACTTTAATGAGTCTGGCACAAAGATGAGGAGCACGCTGATAAAATTTGAGGCACTAATACAAAAGAGGATTGGGATAATGCAAAAAAAAACCAACAAAAAAACCAGAAAAACCCCACACAAAACTAAAACAAAACCAAACACCCTGGCCTTTTGAGAGGCCACAAGAATGGGATGAATGCTAAGCACAAAATACCATGTGAGGAACATCAAGGATTTCTGTTGTAAGAAGGGAGTCATTGGGAGTGGTGATGGAGGGTCTGGGTATATCATATCAATGACCACAAGGTGACACTATGACCAGCAAGATGTGAACACTAAAAGGCAAACACCACTCTAGGCTGTACCAGAAGCACTAGGCAGGGACAAAAAAGCTTAGTGCAAACACAGAAGGCTCTGCTGAGACTCCTCAGGAATACTGGGTGCAGTCCTGGACACCTGTATTTACAGAGGCTGACTTGAGCCCTGAAGGGCTCTGAATGACAATGAAGCCATTGGACAAGGGAAGGCAGCCTCAAGAGCTCAGCTTGCTTAAAACAGCAACACAGAGTTAGCAAAAATTCCTCCTTCAGGTGCAGAGGTGCATCTAGGGGAACCGGGAGGAAGCCAATACCCGCAGAGCGAAGACCAGAAAGACTCTAGCCTGGATAGAGAGACAGCTGAGAACACGATCCAAGAGCAACCCTGTGAAGGAAAAGGGGACTGAATGCTCACTAGAACAAAGGGGCATCACATGAAAAGAGGAGGAGGAGGTTCAAAAACGAGCCAGGGAAGGCAGCTCTTCACCTACATTATATCTCCATCAATGAGCAGCAAGCCAAGGGAAATCATAAACACCACAAATTAACCCAAGGAAATAAAACTGCAAGGGGCCACCTCTAGCCCAGGACAGGCCTGGGCCACAGCTCGTCACATGTTGGGACAATAGCTGGGAAAGATGTTAACAAGCTTTTCGTCTTGCTCTTATTCTCCCCATGGAGACCTGTCCTTGGCAACTGCCAGATGAATCTAGACAGACTCCTGGCCTGAGCCAACAGAACTCAACAGAGCCAAGCTCTTACCGTCTTTCCTGAATGGGAATCGAGAAACACAAGAACGAAGCAATCCGTGAACTTCTGGTTGAGCACAACCTGTCAAGAGAGCCACAGCACACATTGCAGAGGAGAGAGCACAAACCCCAGGCCAGGGATACGACCACCGCCCACCCAGGGATGTGCTGATGTGCAGGACGAGTGGCATGATAAAGCCATGAAGATGCAAGTCTGCCTGGCTCCCAGGTGACACTGCCAAACCATGAGGATATACATGGCATGAGGCTCTGGGTGTGGAGTGTCCTGCCTGCCTGGTGGCAAACAGACAGCGCTGTACCACAGGAGCACACACCTCACACTGCACAGGAGCAGAGTGGAGAGCAACATCATGATGGCACCCATGTTGTCCTGACAGCACGTTATCAGGCTCACACTGTGAGAAGCCACAGCAGGCAGGGGCCCGGAATGGGGAGAGAGACTGCAGGTGGGTGACAGGCTGTGTCTTACCAGATACTGGGTGCCAGTTTCAGCGTTCTGAAAGTGCCGACAGCTCTGGGGAAAGCGGCTCAACAGCACTTTGATGAGGCTTTGGTACCAGGAGACTGTCATGGTGAGGAAGCATCCCTGCAGGCATGGAAAAGGGTTGATTTTAGCCTCCCTCTAGCCATGGCACCAGCAGCCATAATGCTACTACAGCCACCTTCAGACCCCCAGTCAGATGCATCCTTCACAGCCCAATGAGGCGTGCTGACCTAGGGCTGTTCACTCTCCACAGAGAGGTCCATGCAGCCTCCCCCTTACCCTGCCAGCCTTCATCTTCCCACCAAAGAGGAAGACATGTGCCCTGAAGGCCCTTCACCCAGCACCCCACTCCATCCCCAGCGCAGAACAGCAGCTGCTGTGCACCATGGCTCCATCCCTGCAGCTCACCAGCTGGGGGTCGACGTCAGCAATGGATTTCCCATGCACGGCATCGAGCAGCTCCTCCAGCTCCACCAGCGAGAGCTTGCCCAGCTTCAGCTTGTCAGAAGCCAGAGGCTCCAGAAGGAAGAGGCGCTTCCAGAGGTTGTCCCTGCGGCAGTGGCACTTGGCCAGCTGCACCATGCTGCTGAGCTGCTTCTGGGCTGAGGCCACCTCGGAGGCCAGCAAGGGGAAGAGCGGCGAGGTGTAGAAGAGCCCCGGCCCCAGTTTGACTTGCGTGCCCCCGGCGTAGAACTCACTGCTGTCCTCCACGTCCTGCCACAGCTCCCGCTCTGCTGGCTGCTGCTGCCCCAGGCTGGTCTCGGGCTCCGCTGCCTCCCACGCCGCCCGGCCCACCACGGGCTCCAGCACTTCCCTTTGCAAGCGCGGCAGCTTCTTGAAGCGTCGCATGTCGGCTGTGAGCCGGGGAAAGAGCTCCCGCTGGCTAGTCATGATGACGTAGAAACGCAAGCTGAGAGCAAGGAGACACTTGTCACCTGGGGAAGGGTTGGTGCCTTCTCAGCTGGGCTGCAAATGCATCTCTGTCCCTGACAGTAAGGATGCTTCTCTGCCCAGACACCACACTGCCCAGTTCCCTGCAAGGATCTTCCCCAGACAGCACCAAGTCTGCTTGTGATGTCCCAGACAGGGACAGTCCCTCCCAGAGC